TTTTTTTTGACCCTTAACTGCTATGAAGAAAATAGACTTCAAAAGGTAATTACTACCTTGGTAAATTCAGACCTGGTTGGGTTCATACAAGATTGGCATGGTACTGATAATTTGAGAATAGTAGTGGATTTGATTGTTATAGGTTTTTCAGGCTGTTTGGCCATGTTCTGAGGGTTTTTCTTCCTAATGTTTCGCCAGTCCCTGTGGCCAGCATCTTCAGAGGACAGGAGTCAGAACTGTGCTCTGGTGCAGTTTGTGGGATAGTTGAGTACTTATAGCCGTGGGATCAGCTTTTGTATTTTTCAGGAGATTGAGTTATTATGGTGATCAGCATGTTTTTCAGTGCTGGGAGCCAGGCTTTGTTGAATTGAAAACTAAGCCTGGCTCCCAGCACTGAAAAATACAACCTGCAAAAGGTCAACCAGCTCTACCCAGCCACAAGGACCAGTGATCACTGTGCACAAAAGACCAGCTAACGACATCCATCAATTCCAGTGCCAGATCATCTCTCCACCTTACCACAACAATACACCCACAACAAAAAACACCATAATCACTCAATCTCCTGAAAAGGACAAAAGCTGATCCCACAGCTATAAATACTCAACTATCCCACAAACTGCACGAGAGCACGACAACAACAATTGGATCCCAGGCTTGAAAGCCTTGGAGAAATTCTACAGTGGATTGGATTGCTTTGGATGATGAGAGATCCAACCAGGATGCTATTATTTCACTTGATGCAGAAAAGGCTTTTGACAAAATACATTGGTATAGTTTTCCTATACTGACTTTGGTCTTACTCCTGAATTTCTGAAATGGATTATGATCTTTTGTTCATTTCTAAGATCCAGAGTGTTAACTAATGATATTTTATCTGCACCATTTCCTCTGGAAAGGAGTAACGGACAAGGCTGCCTTCTTTCATATTAGGTTTCTGTTGGGAACCACTTGCCTGTGCCGTTAGGCAAAATCCTAATATTCATGGCTTTGTTCATAACTCTCATGAATTTAAAATTAATCTTTATGCAGATGATATATTGTTTATATCTGAACCTAAGTCTTCCATTCCAGAATTAATGAAAGTAATTTATATATTTGGAGATGTGTCCAGTTATTCAATTAAGTGGACAAAATCTGAGTTGTTGCCAATGAAACTCATCACAGAATGTTTTTTTTTAATTGACAATTCTGGTGGTTCCCAGATGTTATTACCTATGTTGGATTTCCAGGGATATTTCACAGATAATCACATTAAATCTAACTATATTGACTTTGGAAATATCCTTGGATTTACATAGATAGGCATCTTTACATTTGTTCTTTAAGGCCAGGCAAATACACTAAAAATAAATATTATACCTTGAATTACATACGTTTTTTCAAGCAATTTCCCTTCATACTGTATACCCAGCAAATACTTCTATAAAGTTAATACTCTGTTTTGGAAATGTATATGGGATTTTATACCATCTTCAATTTCTATGAAGAGAATGCAGCTTGCACTTACTGAAGGTGGATTTGGTTTTCCTGATCATAGTTTACACCAGTGGTTCTTAACCTTGTTACTCGGATGCTTTTGAACTGCAACTCCCAGAAACCCCAGTCAGGACAGCTGGTGGTGAAGGCTTCTGGGAGTTGCAGTCCAAAACTCCTGAGTAACCCAAGGTTAAGAACCAGTGGTTTACACCATGAGCCATATTTGCTAAATGTAACTAATTATCGGAACTATGTTACACATTCAAATTATCAATTTTGGTGTCTTTTGGAAACCTCCTGCCTGGAGCCTGTCTCCAAGAGGGGTCTAAGTGGGGTTTTGGGGTCTAAATATGCCAAAAGAGATTCCATTCCCTCAACAATATCTGCAGTAAGAGAAGTATAGCAGATATTGTCAAAACAATTCTAATATTACCTGTTTTCACATGCTAAATTAAGTTTATGTGCTAACCCACATTTGAAAATTGGGAATAAGCACTTTTTATGGAGGACAAATGACTAATTAATTGGACAGGAGGATGAATTTTTGTCATTTGCCTACTTGAGAAGTAGGTATGATTTGCCAGCTTCAGCTAAAGGGAATTATCTACACTTACAGCATCTATTGATAGCTAAATATGATCCAGCAGCTTTGAGTGATGCAGAATCTCCTGCACTTTTGAAAATGCTTATTGGATCTGTCCAAGAAAAAAAACCTACATTATTTCTTTATAACTATTTACTGTCGGTTAATAAATATGATTCACAAGTTCTCAGAGATGAATGGAATAGGGAAATAAACTGTGTTACTTTACCTAATCAATGGAAGAGAGCACTCATACCTTAGTTGTCTATAGATCTTAAGCTACTACTCATCCAATAAAATATCATGTTTAGAGTGTACTGGATGCTGCAACAATTCTTTAGGAAGGGTCTGAGCAAACAATCTAAATGTTATACTGTGATTCCTTGTTTTAGCTGGATACATAACTCTGCTTCCATTATTTCTTGAAAACATACTTTTGAATTTGTAGTGTTCTGACTGCACAGTTTGCTAACCAAGCATAATCATTCAGGACCGAGTGAAAAATGTTATTCTTAAAAATGACTGAGAGAACCAGGAAAGTGCTTATATATAAAGATATAAATAGGATGATAAAGAAATATTTACAAAATCAAAATACACATTCAGCTTCTCTTTTTCCCTTTCCCAAAACAGATTATGTGGTGATCCACCTTTTATAGGAAGCTCTGAAGAAAAGCTTTTTGAAATTATAAAGAAAGGAGATCTTCAGTTTAAACATTCAGTCTGGGAATCAGTCAGTGAGGCTGGTAAGTAGACAACTAAGTTGGTAAATAGGAAAAACAAGCAAATAACAGTATCAGCATGCAGTTCAATAAATGGCTGAAATATTTTGACCATTTTAGTACCATTAAGGAATGTATTTTCTCAAGAAAGTAAAATTGATGTTAAGAAAAGCTTGCAGATCTCTTAATCTCTGCAGGGATGGAGGACCTATTAGGATGGTCCGCCCAAGGAGACTGATGGATCCAAGTGGTCCTCTCAGTGGCTTTCAATACCATTGACCATGATATCCTTCTGGGCCGTCTCTCTGGAATGGGACTAGGAGGCAGTGTTTTACAGTGGCTCCAGTCCTTCCCGGAGGGGAGAACTCAGAAGGTGGTGCTGCGTGACTCCTGCTCAATGCCCTGGCCATTGGTCTGTGGTGTTCCTCAGGGATCTGCTTTATCACCCATGCTTTTTAACATCTACATGAAAACACTCGGAGAGGTTGTCTGGAGTTTTGGGGTTCAGTGTCACCAGTTTGTGGATGACACCCAACTCTATCTCTCCTTTCCACCTAATTCCAGGGAAGTTGTCTTGACTCTAAACCAGTGTTTGGCATCAGTAATGGGCTGGATGAGGGCAAACAACCTGAAACTTAATCCAGACAAGACAGAGGTGTTCCTGGTTAGTCAAAATGTACTGTAGATGAGGGAATAGGGATACTACCTTTACTGGATGGGGTTACTCTCCCTCTGAAAACTCAGGTCTGCAGCTTGGGTGTAATCCTGGATTCATCCCTCAGCTTAGATGCCCAGGTCTCAGCGGTTTATTTGCACAGGTAAGGCTAGTGCACCAGTTGTGCCCATTCCTTGAGATGTCGGATCTGGCTACACTGACACATGCCTTAGTTACATCCTGTTTGGAATGCTGAACCGAAGACGGTTCGGAAACTTCAGTTGATGCATAACTCTGCAGCCAGACTACTGACTGGGGCCAGCTACAGGGAGCTTATAATGCACCTGTTAAAAGAATTGCACTGGCTACCAGTCCATTTCCAGGCCCAATTCAAAGTGCTGGCCATTACCTATAAAGCCCTATACCGCTTGGGTCCAGTCAACCTGAAGGACCTTATCTCCCTGTATGTGCCTTCTCGGCGATTAAGATCAGAAGAGACCCTCCTCTTGGTCCCATTGCCAGCACACGGACAGCTGATGGAGACACGGGAGAGGGCCTTCTCTGTGGCAGCTCCCAGGCTATTGATTGCTCTCCTTCGGGAGATCAGAGATCAGGGTGGCCCCTTCCCCTTTTATCCTTTCGAAAAAAGCTTAAGACCCATCTCTTCAGGCAGGCTTTTAACAGTTAGAACTGAATCCCTGAATCCCTTTTCAGCAAATAATTTTAATCTTTTACATGTCTTAATGTTTTAATCTTTTAATTTAATTTTTAAATCATATACAGTATTGTTTAATTTCTCTTTTAATATTTAACTTATTGTGTTTTTAAATTGTGTGAAATTTAATGTTGTGAGCTGCTTTGGGTCCCTTGTTGGGAGAAATGTGGCACATAAATAAAACTGATGATGATGATGATGATGATAAATTAGCCTCACAACATTAGAGGTAACATATTTTGCTAGATTAGAGAACTCAGAAACAACTGAGAGATGCATTTGTTATCACTAACAGAAGAGGTTTATGAATGTCTCTGTTTATAGCCAGAAATGTGTTGCAATTACTTCTGAAAGTAGACCCTGCCCACAGAATCACTGCAAATGAACTGCTTGATTGCCAATGGATAACAGTAAGTTTTCCATTTATCTTCTTAGAAATTCTCCTTATTTTTTTATTTGTTCAATTAATTTTGTTTTTACTTGCTTATAGCACTTTCTGTATAAAGCTTAGTAATTGGAACAGTATGAAAATGACAGGACAGGTGTCACTTGCTATTTTTCTTGTGTGAATACAGATTATACCAATAGCTTTTGATGCAAACACTAGTAATTCTTTTGGAAAACCTTGTAAAAGCACTGGGTTTAGGTATTTGGCTGCAGAGCCAAAGGTTGGGAATTCAATTCCCCACTGTGCCTTGCCTCCTGCACGTTGAGCTGGCCTCAGTGTGGGCTTGGACGAGCAGCACAGTGGCAGGGCACCTTCAGAAGAAGGGAATGATAATCACTTCTGAATATTCTCTATCTGATAAACCCTGAAAAGGTCACTATAAGTCAGAATTGATTTGACAGCACATTTATTATTATTATTATTGTTGTTGTTGTTGTTATTGTTGTTGTTGTTGTTCAAAAACTCCAGACACAGTCAACATTATACAAACATTGATTGGTATTATATAGCACATACTGTACAAGTTTTAACCAAAAAACCTCAGTGCAGGATGTATGCTGTTCCTAACATTTTTTGTAGCTCTGATGGTGTGATTTCTGAGATTTGCATCTGCTTATCTGTGTGAAATTTCTTGTTCTTCAGCATGGTCTCTATGAATCACACATTTGGGTTAAATCATGGCCTGCGCTGGAACTTCGGAATCTTCTAGAGCTTTTTCTGAAAAGTTACATAGTTTAGATTGCCCCTTGCACGCATGCTCCATTCCCCCCAGCCTTCAGTTCCTAATTTTCCGCCATTGTGCTAGGAACGTTTTCGGATTATCTACTTGTTTTCCATGGAATTCACTTGGCTTTTGGACTGTATTTTGACTATTCTTGCTTCTGTTGCCCTTTGATCTTGGACTGTTTTCGACTACTCTTCTGCCTGACGGACTTTGGCTCTTGTTTGACCTTTCCCCCCCACACTTTTGTGGATTGCCTGATTGCTTGATTACCAGGCTTATTGGCTCAGCGGGAGGCGCCATTATCGGCTCAGCAGGAGACTCCATTATCTACTTATCTCCTGATTACCGTGAGAACTCAGGCTCCTATAGCCTACTGTGTAATGTTTTATGTCCCCATCAGGCCCTTTTAGTAAATGTAGGGCGTGCTCCTGGAAAATACCTTTTTATGATAAACATAGTCTTTGTTTATTTTGCCTGGGGAACGCTCACAATACTTCTATCTGCTGCCATTGTAAGGAATTTACTAAGGCTGCTTTGAAGGCATGCCAGCAGAGACTTAATCCCTACCTTTGGGAAAAAACTCTGTTTGCAACCCATCCCTCAGAGATGGAGACTTCCTCCAATCCTTCGGTGACTCCTCACTCTGAGACAACCGTGTCTCTCCCATCTACATCTACTTCTAAGTCATCTAAAACTCCTAAGAAAACTGCTTCAGGTCCTTCCAAGAACGCTCCTTCTACATCTAAGGTGCTTGTTTCCAAGGACGCTGCAAAGCCTAAAAAACAGGCGGACAGCCTAAGAAATCCAAGGCAAAAGAGATCACCTGTCTTCCACCTTTTACACCATCGCTGCCTTCGCCAGTTTTGGAGATTCTTCAAGGGACCAGGAATCCCTATCTGAAGCGGCTCCATCTTTGCCACTCTCCCAGCAACCTGAGGCACCGCTTGAGCCTGGGCGTTCGCCCAGCCCGGACAAAGTTGAGGAGGCTGTCTTATCCAGCCCTCATTCTGCCCCTCTTGGCCCTGCAAATGCCGGCTTCACATTCCCCCTCTTGCTCTCCGAGGAGAGACCTTCCTTCTCGCACAAAGGGGTCGAAAAGGCGGCATTCTTCTTCTGATCGGCGTCGTGACTCTGACTTGGAGATTTCCTGATGTCGGAAAAGACACAAGCATGAACGATCTGGGCACAGTCATTCAGGAAGGAGGAGGACAAAGCATTGACGTCGACATTATGATACCAACTCAACATCGTTGTCCTCCTTTTCAAGCTACCGCAAGCACAGGAGGAGGCGCTATTCTCCCTCTTCAACCTCGAGTTCTTCGCCTTCTCTGTGTCAACGTCGACAGGCTCAGAATACTCTGCCTACTATGGACACTACAAAGGCTTCCAAAAAGACTTCTTCCACCTCGACGTCAAGGGCTAAAAGTTCACAACAAACTACTCAGTTCTCCTTAGCAGAGACTACTGTGCATAGAGTCCCATCTGAGGAGGATGACCAACTTTGCAAGGTGTTTTCCAATCAAGATGAAGAGGTTTTCTCTCCTTTACAAGCCTAATCACCAGTGGAGGCGGATTCCTTTGAGTAAGATACAGGGAACCCCCATCCATCCTCTCCCTCTGAGGATTTCTCTGCTTATTCGCTAATGGTGACCAGAATGGCTAATGTTTTAAAAAGGCAGACACAACTTCCACCTCCTCCAACAGATGATCCCATTTTTGGAGACATCGACCGAGAGTCTTCTCAACCACTTAGTCTCAATTATATTTCTAAACTGTTTAATCTGATTATGGACGCTTGCTCTCAACCAGCCACCCCTCAAGCTGCTCCTGAGGACATTAGACAAGAGTGTTTAAACACTCATGTTGAGGCTATGACATTCTCCAAACATCAGCGCTTAGCTGCTAGACATGCGACAGATGTTTCGGCTAAGACATTGAACTCTGCCATAACCCTTCGACGCCATGCTTGGCTCAGGGCATCTGGTATTGTTGAGGATGTGAAAAAGCAAATTGAAGAACGGGCTTTTGATACAAAAGGTTTATTTAACGAAAAGACTGATGAGTCACTCAAATCTATACACGAAAGCAAGAAAACTTCTAAATTGTACACCATTCACCAACAGCCTTGTTTCCAGAAACAACAGTGGCAAAGGCAATTTCCCCAGCAGCAATATCATCAGCAGGCTTCTCAGGGGTACAGGCCTTATAGGAGTTCTTAAGGTAGATCATATCAACAGTCTTCTACCGCTCCACCCTACAAACAGTAAACATCACATAAGTGTCAGTCTTATTGCCCATCTACCAAATAGTCCAAACAGTACCTTTGACTTTCTCAGCCCCCTGCTTCAAGATCATCACACACACCTTGCCCCATTTTACCACAATTGGCAAAGGATATCAAAAGACAACTGGGTTCTGAACATCATCTGATTTGGCTACCGGCTACAGTTGGTAGAACTTCCTCCTCTAGGACATCTGCGGATAACAATATCCACCCTGGAGGAGGAAGTCCTCACTCTACTCCAAAAGAATTTAATTCAGCAGGTCCCTCGTCAGGACATCCTCAGGGGATTTTGCTCCCAATATTTCACTGTTCCAAAAAAGGATGGAGGTCTCAGGCCCATACTAGATGTAAGGGACCTCAACACTTACCTTCAGCCATGTTGGTTCTGGATGGTCACCGTGGAGTCCATAGGACGCATACTTCCACGTCACCATACACCATCATCACAGAAAGTATCTGCAGTTCATAATCAACAGCAAAGTCTACCAGTATGCGGCCTTACCATTTGTATACAAAGTGCATGGCTCCAGTGGCTGCATTTCTACGTCTACAAGGTGTAAAAGTATTCCCATAAATCGACGATTGGCTCATAGTGTCGCCATCCAGACTGAAAGCTATTCAGGACACCAAATTCACTCCCCACACTCTACAAAGTCTAGGCCTTACCATAAATTTCGAGAATCCACCCTAAGACCTTCTCAAGTTATGAGTTACATAGGAGCAACTCTGGACTCCAGAAAAGCAAGGCTCTTCCTTCCTCCAGAGCGAATCCACAAACTACAAACTGCTCTCCAAAAGTTTCAACCACACTCTCGGGTGTTAGCACTTCGTGCACAACATCTGCTGGACCTCATGGCCTCAACTACAGCATCCTTACCTCACGCCAGGTTAAAAATGCGCTCACTACAGGTATGGCTTTTCCATCATTTCGACCCAATGTTAGAGGATCCCAGGAAGAAGATCCTAGTCACCCCAGAGCTAGCAAAACAACTACAATGGTGGGGTTTCTTACCACATCTGCTAATGGGCCGCCCATTTCGCCCCCTACAACTCTCTGCACAAGTAACAACAGATGCGAGTCCCATAGGCTGGGGAGCTCGTTGCAATGGTCATACCATACATGCCCTCTGGTCACATCGTCAGAGAGGACTCCACATCAACCATCTGGAGATGCTAGCAGTAATCAAATCATTCAGGGCCTTCCAGCCACTGATACAGGGTCGTGGTGTACAAGTTGTAACAGACAACACCACCACCTTGTACTACATCAACAAACAAGGCGGAACAAGATCCTTGACCCTTCTTTACCTTGCGGTGCCCCTGTGGGAGTGGTGTTGCCACCACCACATTTTCCCAGTGGCAATCCACATATCAACATCGGAGAACCAATTAGCAGATGAGCTAAGTCGCCGGAACAGACAATCCCATGAGTGGGAACTAGACGACGATGTGTTCCAGATGCTGTGCTCAAGATGGGGCCGACCAACCATCGACTTGTTCGCCTCTCACAGGAACAAGAAGTGCGAGAGGTATGCATCTCGAGCGGGCAGGGCCTCTGGTTCCCTGGGAGATGCGTTCATGATGCCATGGCAGGACCACCTTCTCCTCCAGTTCCCTGGGAGATGCGTTCATGATGCCATGGCAGGACCACCTTCTGTACTTGTTTCCACCAATCCATCTGATTCAAAGGTCTCTAGTCAGGATCAGACAGCAGAGGTCGTTAGCAATCCTCATAGCACCCTACTGGCCACGTCAACCATGGTTCTCTACTCTGAAGGAGTTGGCCACCGAGGTATTCAGACTTCCACCTATGCCACATCTGCTCACGCAAGACTCGGGGAGCGTTCTACATCCAGACGTGAACTCCCTCCACCTGGCGGCGTGGAAGATTTGCCTGCAATCAAAGAGGTGTTAGACAAATCCAAAAAACCATCTACAACTTTCTTATACAAAT